AAAGCAGAAATCGTCCTCAGTTTGCCTAAACGTTTTCTCCCGTGTAATAAATTGATGGGTTCTTTTGGAACGAACGATCATCCCTCCCTGTCATTTCCCCCACCTCCTTCCCCCTCTCTTTAATTATCCTCCGCCTTCACTTTCTTCCTCAGTCCCTCTTCTTTTCGTCCCTTCTCCTCCCGTCGCTAAAATTTTTGATGCAAAGGTGGAACATGACATCCAGAAGATTTTCCAAGGTTTCTGTCGAAATTTAGGCAGGCAAAGAGGTTTAGGTTTTCGTAAATAGTGCTAAAATTGTGTTGAAACTCAATGGTGATGAGTGAGGCAAGGAGTTAAAATAAACTAGGAGCGGATGGAGGGAAGGGGAGGGGAAGAGAAGGGGCGACAAATCTGGATTACCCAATCCCGATACGATATTTAGTTTAATGCGTAACAAGTGCTGTTTCATGGCCGTACTCCTTTTTTTCTTCCATCGATTCAATTGGTCATTTTGCTCTGTAGTTTTTCTGACCTCATGGTCAGCATGATGGCGATCCTAACATTCGTTTCGATGTTTTTTTTTGTTCTCATGGAGAGAAATTCGAGGCCTTTCTGATGTCGATTAACTTATCTAAAAGCATCTTCCTCACACTCTCCTTACTGACCATTTTCTGGATACAGTAGAATGATTACTATTAATCATGATAAATAATCTCAGTTTTTGGTTATTTTTCCCTCTTATTCAAATTTTCGCAATTTTTAAGCTTTAAAAAAAGACAATTTTTCAAACACCATTCAGCATACGTGACTTGTGCATAACGGTTCCAAATTTGTTTTGTTGGTTTCAGATATATCTATAATTAGAAATATTATGATTAAGTGTCACAATTAAATATCATAGCTATATTTTATAACTATAAGTACGTCTATAACGAAAAAAAATTTGAAATTGCTGTGCACAAAATTAGTTATAAGTGGACAGTGAAAAAGGGAGGATTATAACAACGGCGAATCCAGGGTGGTTTTCCGGGAGGTGATGGGGGGGGGGGGGGGGGGGGGGGGGGGGGGGG